TATATGTAGATGGGTGCGAATCGGGACACTATAAGCACCATCCGACTATTAGGCACCAGATTTTCACCTCCAACGCCATTGGCAGCTACAATGTTGCTTATAGATGTGGCGATGTGATGGTTGTTTGGATAAATAACGAAGAGCTTAAAATAGGCGTGAGGTTGTTGCACACCAGAACAGCTAGCCAACCCCACAGCACAAAGCAGGCGAGTGAGCGCATCAAGTTGTGGAGGGTGGGGGACCACTGTGTGTCACCGGATGGTTAGTATCAACTACGTCATAACCAAAAGCGTGTAAAGCAAATGTGTTGATTAAACATGGCCATACTTCACTCTAAGTTCATCCTGAGGTATCCCTTAATAAACGCTGCACCGTAAGTGAATAATTGAGGTGTGTATTATGCGGCGCTAAGTCTGTGTGTGCGATGCAGGCTTTTGTATGTCAAAGTGTCGAAAGGGTACCGGGCGCCATCCAACTTCAGCCACAGTGCCAGTAGGGCCTAAAACCACGGTATTGGGCGCCCTAGATTGCCCGTTTGTCAGACAGTTGCTGAATAAACCATGGACCTATGTAAGTGTAAAGAGTTCAAGCGTATCACTATTCAATAGGCGGCGAAACTACCTTAAACGAGGAACACTCGAGTTGAAGGCACGAGGTCACTATCACCTACACCTATTAAGGCTCGGATTCGAGTGCATCTGTGTAATCTGAGAGACACAGTCCGGCATTCATCTATACATTCAGAAAATCACGCAGAGTTTATGAATCGGTGTTACTGCCGACGCACACAACTGGCTGTTGTACAGTAGACATAAATCGCTCTAAGCCTGGAATTACTGATGACGGAAACGAAAGACAACTTAGCACATAGCACTTCCGATGTAGTTAAAGTAAACTGAATACAGTTCATACGACAACACATAATCCTGATCAGTTTGATTACTTGTGTCTACCTCCTAACATTAATCCGTGGAGGCCACGATACCAAGTTTCCTCTACGTTCTGCCCTGTCATAGCCTACGAATATATCTACTCGGATTACTTCGCATCCATTCTGAGTCCACGAATAGCAACCCAGTCTGTCACGATATTAAATCATATCTATAGGTGAAACAAATATGAAAAATCGGTAGAAGAGTGAGATATCGCGCAGATGAAGTGCATATTTATGTGATTCTGCTTCGAAAATCCTTCCCCAAACAAATTCGCACGCAATCAGGCAGGGGCAGTCATAGGCCTTGTCAGTGAAACGACAGTTGTTATAGGCCAGGATCTAAAACCCTAGGATTTTCTCCTAGGATTTGCAAGCGCAGAGGATTGGGACGTGATTAACTTGCTTCGAAGCGAGATCACAAATAGTACGTTGAACAGTTCGTGAAGTATGTGAAGATACTTAAAGACTGGTCGCATTCTGGATATTCACGATTACTTCAGAAAAGTACAGGTCATACCCTCCTATCATGAAATCCATCCATCTATCCGATGCCGGATCGAAGATCCCCCTTGATGGTGAAGCTGATGATTACACACCAATGACCTAACCTCTAATTGATTATCCGTATTGTAGACAGCAGACACTCACCTCGTGCCAAGGATGCTTCATCTACATCAATTTTCAAGTGGGTTAAAACTTTGACAGAGAAGACCATTTCAGGATATGCTGTGATATTAGGCATATATATAAGGGTATCGGAGTTGTTGAAAATACACATCAAGAAAAGTTGGCATGGATACCAGCAGACCAACAGAGTTACTTTTATTGGTTTAAAGCAATTGGAGGATGACAAACCTTTTCGTGAGTACAGTGCACATAATGGAGGCACGGAATGCAATTTGATTACAATTCAACTTCGTGAATGTAGAGCGAGGAAGAGTTGTGACAATTTCATTTTGGACTTTCAACCGTGTGGAATCACACGCACCTACTTTGATCGTAGATTATCTTGTGATATAATTTGCGGACAAGTAAGCCAACAACCAGACAAACAGTATATTGCTGGTGTATTCTGAAAATAAGTCTATGAGTCGTTTTGGGAAGCTGATAAGGGCTGCGGAGATGGCGCGTGAGAGAACTTCAGTTACATTCTTCCGTGCGACTACAAGCACGCCGTGAGTGTGTGCAAGGGGCACCACAGAGATAACCTGGTGGTCAAGTTGGATTTTGAGATGCACAAAATGAGCGCAGGTGTCCGAAAGCGACACAGCAGCGATCAGTTACAGCCAACTCGGTGGTTTACGACAAATAGGTTAGCTCCACACATATCTCGATTAAATTTGGATTAAACGAAAAATCACAGTCTCGAATAAAAACGCTGTTGAATATTCTATTGTGTACTAAATTTATTTTTGAATTAATTCGACCTAGTCAGTCAAATACTTTCTTGTCATTCAGCTTAGAATTGGAAGTCGGCACGGTTGTGGTACAGATCAGTGGCTTTGGAGTCCTTCTCGCAGTAAGACTGATATTTTAAATTAATTCGACCCAGTCTGTCAAAACTTACTCGTCAGTCATTTTAGAATTGGAAGTCGTAACGGTTGGGGTACACATCAGAGGCCTTGGAGTCCATCTCGCAGTAAGATTGTGTGCATTTCTTGAGATCACCACACTCTCCAGACCACTGGCAACACTCCTTGTTCTTGTGGATGGGGCCAGTTAGGGCATCGGGGTTACGCTCACGCTTCTCGGCGCATGTGATCTTGTATTCATTCTTTTGGGTAGAGTGGGCGCTGGCAACAACGGCAACGGCGGCGATGATAGCAACAGTAGAGAACTTCATTCTGGATAAGATTTGCTTTGGAATTCGGATTTCAAATAAAAAGTGTGCTACTTTCAAGAGTGCGTCTGAGGTTTTTATAGTGGAAATTTCATCGATTGACAGCGATGCTACTAGCACTGGTAGTAGGCCAGGCGTGGTAGCCGGCAGGCAATAAATAGGTTTGCTAGAAATGACACTACGCACAGGTTCCGTTTTAAGTTTGAGTTTCGGTCCTCCCAAAATTTATAAGTATAAACCTTTATCTGTCATGAATTCATGATGTGTCCTATGGCCATTTAGAACACAGAAAAAAAATGCCGTAGCCCCTTAGTGACTGAGTCAAGATGTGAGTGACCTCGCCTCTGGTCCTGAATTTTGATAAAAAGCAATCTGCGCTAAAAAATAATCCCGATTTTGTTATGTTTTGTTTTTAAAAACAAAACAAATTCTGCGACAGAAACTTTTTAAAATTGCCGCTCTCGAGTCTCACGACTCACGGCCACGCGAGAGAGTTTGTCGAAACTCGAAACTGTCGAGTGTCCCCTGTCGAGATATATCCTTCCATTTCCACCAGGGCCATCAATTTTTTATTTATTTTATAAAAATTTCCGCTACGGCCTACGGGTATTTATGTACGGCCCACATACTGCCTCTCTCTCACAAGGCTACAGAATACTCGGTACAGGCTACAGCCGAATATTTATTTTAAAACAAATACAGCCGTATGAACAGCTATATGGCTAATTAATAAACGGCATATATCTATAAATATTTTAAATACATACACATAAAGAGCAAAAATACTCTTTAAAAAATATCATTTACGATTTACGAACATCGTTAAAAATATTAATACATCCACAGGGCGGCAGAGCGCGGCCCTGCCCGGGCCTAGAATAGTTGGAAAAACTCCTAGATGACGATGCAATGTAATAACAAATGCCTTTTAAGCTTTTTTATCAAAAACACTAAAATTGGAGATGAAAATATAAATTCAAGTGGCATTGTAATGCTTGTTTTTTTTTAAACAAAACAGACCCACACTCGTCACTCATACAGTATTTACATATCCCACATTTTTGATTTTGGGATCCCCAGAGGCCAGGGGCCAGGGGCAAGGGGGCAGGCCGCCATGTATCAAATCGGGCTATTTATACACAAGCCACCAGCCACTAGGGCCCCAACAACGGTATTCTGAGTCCTGACACTGAGTACAATTGCGAATGACATTTGACAATTGGCACTTGGCAGACTTCTATTTTTTTATTAAATATTGCTTTCCGTAAATTCAAATACATTTCATTCCGGTTTGAATAGTCTCTCTCTCTCTCTCTCTCACTTGAGTCTCTTCAGTCTTCCCTTCCGCGCTCTGATGGGTCGAATTCGATAGAGTAGAGAGAGTAGGAGGACAATCAGTCGATCTGTTTGTTGTTTTTAACCCCTGAGTCTTGACTCTTGAGACTTAACTCTTGAGTCTTGAGTCTTGACTCACACGAAACAATACGATGTAAATTGCAATCACGAGTTCACGACGCTATGTAATTCTACAAGTAATTTACTAATTCACGAGTAGTAGGCCTGATGTCTGGACTCTCGAGAGTTCAGAGACTTCAGAGTTCAGACTCCTCAGTTCTCAGGTCACTGAGTTCAGTCACTATAAATTGTCTATAATATTATATATGTATTTATTTATTTTTGTTTTTTTTCATAGTGTCCTGAAAATGTTATAAAAAATATATAAATCAACAAGAAAAAAATTATTTTGGTGTTTTTGTCCATAGCCTCCTTGTTCTTTTTAGGAGGCTATGTTTTCATGTTTTGTTTTTTAAAATTTTGTTTTTTTATGTTTTTTTAAAAGCAAATATATTTCTCTCTCTGGCCTCACCTGGCTCGGGAGTCAGGAGGTAGGACTCCGTCTCTTGACTCCTCCACACATAACGTATTGTGTGATGCATGGGCTGCTGCGAACTTGCGAAGTCTGTGGAGTGTGGACACAAAGATCGAAGACTGTCAGCCTGTCAGGGCTATAAACAAAGTAACAAACAACCCAGCAGTTGCCAAAAACCCTAAACCCTAAAACAGGCGTCAAATTATATATATAACACCTGAGTAAGAAATCCAGAGACTCCCTCACTCCCACCATAAGCGGTAGTGTCATATAAGAACCCTCAGTAAAGGGGAAAAGAGCTTACTTCTTCCGTAATTATAATGTAACAAACTGAATTCACTGAAAAGTGAAACCTCGTAACTCTTCTCGCTCTCTCTTTCTCTCTCTATCTCTCTCTCTCTCTCTCTCTCTCTCTCTCTCTCTCTCTCTCTCTCTCTCTCTCTCTCTCTCTCTCTCTCTCTCTCTCTCTCTCTCT